ACATATAACAAAACGGCCTCGGGCCCGATATATTATAAAACGAACTCGGGCCCAACATATTACAAAACGGCCTCGGGCCCACATATCATTCATTCAATAACATTCGTAAAGCATTCTATAACATTCATAATAAAGCGTTCTATAACATTCGTAAAGCATTTAGCGAAAGTCATTCATATCATAACATAATACAATTTCAGAAATTTATATATGACATTCATCTTGTTCCAAAATAATAATGAACATATCTTTACCAACTTATTACTCACAGTGATTTAGGCCTTGCGATGATCCCTCGTGCAAGCAATCTTGTGTTTAATTTTTGAATTCTCCTACAATTTCTTCAAGTTTCCAAGCTCTAGGTTGAATTCCTCTTCTTTCTCTTCTTTTCTTCCTTAGGTTTTGTCCTACGTCATCATATATATATATACATGGCTCCTTAATCTCACTACTTAGCTTAATTGAATCAAGTTTAAAATTATCTAAGTAAGGGTTTAATTTAAATAAATCTAATTAATTCATTCTTAATCAAATTTCTCCCAAACTTCACATTAGGCTCTAAAAATTATGCTAATCACAAATATTAAATCAATTTTGGTCTCTGGTGACTCTAAGGCTTCCAATTTTCAGTTCAAAGTCATAATTTCAACAAGTTTGCCTACGAACAACAAATACAAATTCAAAATCATATAAATCACACAATCAAACATGTAATTTCACATCAAAGACATATTCACAAGTATAATTAAAGAATTAAAGCATAATACGGAGTAGGGTTATCACAATAATAATCTCTATATCCCCCCATTTCTCATTCGAATTATTGTAATAATCTTCCAACCCCACATCTTTCTAACCTTTTTATTTATGTGATTTCTGTATAATATCATGTTTTATTTATCATATCCATGCTTTGCATCCATCTTTTATGCATTGAGATTCGGCTAAGTTGCATCTGTGGGTTTCATCAATTCTTATGTGCCTATGTGCGCTAACTCGTGCCTTGAAATGATTCACATATCATGTACTTAACTGCCAAATCTATAGTTTAATTTTTGTGCATGTATTGCATTAGGTATTTACATATGGGATCATACATATGTATATGGCATGTTATTTTTTGACTTGTCACGGAGGTGTACTAGGTAAGCATTTACAGCTTTAGCATCCCAGTTGTGTATGTTATTTTACCATGTTTAGCATCTTGCCATACGGTTATGTGCCTAAATGATATACCTCCTGGAATGCTAGTGGATGAAGGTTTTGTTGCTTAGGTTGGAATGATATTGATTGCTATGCATGTGGGCTCAATTTCATTTTGAGTTGTACATTTATTAATAAATAAAAAAAAACCTTTCAAAATGCATAAAATCAAAGCATACCAAAATAAGTGACATGATCTATAGTTACATGCCTCACATAGTAATTTTAACATTATTAATAACCGAAACATGAGCATATATTGTTTATAAAACTTATGTCATGGTTTAGTAGAGGTCGTTCTTTTGATCGGGTGAGAGTGGGTGCTCAATTTATGACCTTCCCCCTTCATGCTTAAGGTTCTGAACCGAGACATCTTTGGTTATGACGAACAATGACTTTTGGAACGAGTCACAGGTGTAGACATCCCATTTTTGACCGACCTCAAGACTTTGACGTCATCAGTTGTGCACTCGATGATTGTGCATGTTTGTGCTTGTTTTGAGCACCCGAAGGTCTCGGCTGAGTGCCTTGTCTTTGAGCCTCTTAACACTCTGTGGTTTGGCCTTGTTTTTGGGCCAAACCTTGTTGCCTCTTGCCTAGGGGAGGGGAAGGGCTTGCCAACCACTTTTCTCTCTTGTAGGCCGCTTGAAGTGGCCGGTCAGCCACCTTAACTGACCGACAGCCAATTTTCTCTCTTTTTAGATATTTTCAGATCTTTTGAACTAGCTGTGGCTCATTGAAACTCATACTCCATACACGTGTATGGAGGGATAAAGCAAGCTTTTTGCTTGCTTACTCTATATAAGGGAAGGTCCCTCCCCCTTTAGAGAGGTTCAAAAAAAATTCAGAGCTGAAATTCCTTTCTCTCTCTAGAATTCTCTCTCTCTCTCTATATATATATATATATTGTGCTATATAGTGCTTAGAAGTGAGTTTTCTTCACATATTTGCACTAAAACACCTAGACAAACACCACTACCTTGGAGCTGAAGTTCTTGAAGGCTTGTTTGGAGCTCAAAAAGCTGGTTTTTGGCTCAAAAGTTGCTTGTTTAGCTGTTGTGCTTCAAGGGTAAGAATTTACCCCTCTTAGGCTTGTTTTTGTATACTAATTTGGGCCGCCTTTGCATGCTGTTTTGGCCTAGTTATCAACTGCAAAAACCTCTTTTTTAAGTGTTAAAAATGGTTGTTTGAGCCCCTTTTGGAGTTAGGGGTGGTCCACCCTCCTTGTAGCTTCATTTGCTAAGCTTTGTGCTATCCTTTAAAGCTTTTAAAACAATTCTTTTTTGGCCTTTATACCACTGAAACTCAGAGGTTTTTCAGTGGTAAAAAGTTGGTTTTGAGGACCAAAATAGAGGGGGGTGGTCCTCCCTCTTCACATCTTGTTTGCATGTGTTATTGGCCTAGTAGTTGAGCATATTTTTTTACCATCTCATGGCTTGTTCTCAGCATGTTTTTGTGACTTTTTTGACGTGCTATAACTCTATTTTGGGCTGGTTGGAGCACCTCTTGTTTGCTTCTTACACTTGTAGTGTAATCTTGTTTACTAGCCTAGCTTACTTGATGTTGTAGCCTATTATTCTAGCATGAGTTAGCTCCATTCCAGCATGTTTTTGGCATTTCTTTACATGCTTAAGCTCTATTTTGAGTGGTCTTGGTCCCTTGAGACTTGCTTTGTATAGCTAAAGTGTAGTTAGCTTCATTAGCTTTGTGCTTTAGGCCCTTTAACATGCTTTATTTGAGTTATTTGCATGATATGGCATCATTTAGAATGTGATTTCAGAGCATATATTTCTGTCATACTCTCACATATATCACTCTTTAATGGCTTTTAAGAGTTGTCCCTTATGCCTTGCTTGCGAGCCAATATGTGCGCATGATCTTCCACTCTTTTGTGCTTTAATTTTAGCACATTTTGGCCATTGTTTTAGCATGTTTGAGGTCTGTCTAAGGTTGGTTTGGCTATTTGAGCATTGTGTTCCATGCCTCTAGTGTTGTGTCCTTCACTAGTTTCAATGCTTAAGTCCCTTAACATGTTGTGTACGTCATGATTGCATGTCTTGGCATCATTTAGCATGCAATTTCAGTGCATATAGTGTAGACACACTCACATATTCCACTCTTTCATCGCTTTTGAGAGTTGTCCTCTATGCCTTGCTTGTGAGCCTACATGCGGACATGTTTTTCTTGCTATTCAAGCTTCAATTTCAGTATGTTGTAGTCTCTGATTTGGCCATGATTAAGCTCTGTCCAGAGCTGGTTTGGTCGTGTATGCTTGGTATTGCATGCTTCTAGAGTGATGCTCTTTACTAGCTTAATGTATTTGGCTTTTGAGAATGCATTACATGAGTTGTTTGCATTGTTTTTAAGTCACTTAGCATGCTATTTCAGTGCTAAAATATGTGTCATGGCACTCCATTCTTTTAAACTTTCATTCACCTTGAAAGTGGCCTTAAGCCCCTTGTTGGCTTGAGCATGAACTTGAGGCATTCATGCCTAATGGTTTTAATCCTCCCTTGAGGATTTCTACTAACCAATAGCATGATACTTTCTTCATGCTCAAGGCACTCGAAGCTTGGGTCATCTTTCAAATTAGAGGACCTTTCACATTGAACTTAACCGAGATGGGCGAAATTCAGTTTCTCAAACCGAGGAATTAGCACATCCAAGGTTTGGTGATAGATTCTCATTTTTTCTTCTTTAATTTTCCAATCTCCTTTAGCTTGAGATACAACAAGGTTCGAGTCCCCGATGACGTCCAACCATTTTGCCCCTAGTTTTAGGGTAGCTTCTAGTCTAGCAATACATGCCTCATATTCTGCCTAA